AAAAAAGAGTTCTTTGGTATCCTAGTGGTCTAAGAATTATGCCACAATCCCAAAGGTACACAGTTCAAATCCCCCATCTATTCTGCAGGAGGATGGGAAATCTCCTCCTGTGCAATTACCTGCCTCCAAAAACTCACAGAAGGGTCAGCTCCAACTCAGCAATTCAGCGGCACAAAATAATAAAAGCTTTAACAACAGGCAGTCTTTTCCATGGACAGTCTCCTCCCCTAGGATTTACAGCATTAAAATGCCAACAGAGGGCTGCCATAAGTCAGATTCAACTTTAGTACAAGAGAGCTGGGATGTTCTTACAGCCTTAATTAAGTACACATATACAAATGCAAGCAAAAACAAAACTCTGAAAGGTTTGCTTTTTTAGAACTCAGGGCTATTTCAATTCTAAATGCATAAATATGTAATTTGCAAGATTAAAAAATTATTTTCACATGGGATACACTTTCAACATCAGTAATGCTAATAAAAATTAGATGTTTCTGGTTGTTATTGTTGTACTGGTTTCTTTCCTGATTTGCTAGATCTAGACTTATTAAGGAAATTAATAGAATTCAAGCCAGAAATTTCTAATAAGTTAAGGAAGCACCAAAAGATACCTAGACAGAGGTCTGTCTAGGGAAATACAGGGTGTGAATTTGTCTGCTGAACACTTATCTACAAGAATGCACATGGGGAAAAGATGAAATAAAAGTCTTGTCTATAATGAATGGTGTTGGTTAGACACTAATTAATGGGTTTCAATGGATGTTACAGTTTCAAATGGCCATAAAGTCAAGTATCTGTTCTTTTTTTCACCTAAGTCAGCAGGGTACATTATTTTTTCCTTTTTATTTGAGTGAAGTTTACAAATCATAATGGTTTTCATTAAATCACTCAAACACTTTTTCTTTTACATTACTGTAACTAATAAATGTCTGATCAACCTCTTTATTTTTTTAAAAAATATTTTATTTCTTTAATTTTATTATTTTTGTGTGTGTGTATCGTCAAATCAGATCTGACTGGTACTGGAGGAGATTGACCCTCCTTCTCCAGCAGAGCATCTGGTGGATTCGAACCACATACCTCTGGGATTGCAGTGCAGCTTCTCACCACTAGGCCACCAGAGCTCCCTTTCAACCTCTTATTTTAATACTATTACCTCTCCCTTCATGCAACCTATCTATTTTGCTCCCTTCTCTCTTTCCTTTCTCATTCCTGCTAACTATCCTAGAATGATTTTATTGGTGTGTAAACCTTTACTAGCTTTAAATGGTAGTCTTATACCATAAGTATGAAGCTCTGATTTCTTAGTCTGTAAGAAGTGCTACTAACCCAAAGCCACCACCTCTGATGGTTCACCACCTCTGATGGTTCAAATCCACCAGCCACTCCAGTGGAGTAAGATGGGGAATTTCCTTGTATGAGAGTTATAGCCTCCCTAAAACCCACTGGAGGGTCAGTTATGAGTTCTTTCTGACTCCACAGCAGTTAGTGAGGGATACAATAAGTATCCTTTTGTGACAGACTTAGATTACTCAAAATAATTTCCTCTAGATTCATCGATGCTGTATGTTGTTTCACATATTATTATCATTCTTTTGTATTGCATAATACTTCATTTTATGCATGTAATGTGCTTTCTTTAGCCTTCTGTGCACTGACAAACACTTGGGTCGTTTCCACTTCTATGCTATTTGTAAATAATACTGCAACAAACATCAACTCTCAACTCACTGCCCTTGAGATCACCTCATAATTAACCTTCCAGTAGGTTTTCCCTTAGGTTCTCAAGCATAATATGCCCTTGGGATGGCAATGCAACCCACTAGGCTACCAGAGCTAAACACAGGTGTAAAAATATTAGTTTCCACAGCTCTTATTTCTTTAGACTACATAGCAAGTAGTTGGATTGTTGGATCATGTTATTTCTATTACTAACTTTCATATGAGTCACCAAACAGCTTTCCACAGTGGGTGCCCTATTTTATATTACCACCAGCAGTCTATGAAAATTCCACTCACCCCACACCCTTACCAGCATTTGTTTGCTGTTTTTAAGAACTGCTATGGTTGCTGTTGTAAGAAGATATCTCGTTGTTTTGCTCTGCATTTGTCCAATAATAGTTAAGGGAGTTCTGATGGCGTAGTGGCAAGGAGTTGCACTGCCAACTCAAAGGCACATGGTTTCAATCCACCAGATGCTCCACAGGAGATAAATGGGCATTTTCCTCATAAGATTTACTGGCTCTGAAAACCTTGCTACGAGTCAGCTCTAACACGATGATACTGAACAATAGTTAATATCAGCACTCATCTGTCAGCTTGTCATACTGTTTGTGGTACCCTGCATGCAGCTATGATGCTAGAAGTTATACTGCCCATCTACCAGAGGGTTACCCATGGTTAACAGGTACCAGTTGAGCTTCTAGACTAAGAAGCAGGTCTGGTCATCCATTTCTGAAATAACAGGCCATTGAAAACTTTATAGATAATGGAAGAACACTATTGGATATAGTGCCAATAATGAGTCCCTGAAATTGGAAGGTATTTAAAATGCAAGTGGGGAAAGGGATGCCTCCTCAAAGCGGAGCCTACCATAATGATGCTTATGGAATAACACTTTACCCAATGTGGCAAGATCAAAATGAGGGAAAACATCCATTAATAATTGGAATTATGGACTGTATGAAGCTTTAATCTAAGAAAAAGGAAAGTTGTTAAAAATGAAAGGGAATGCATAAAGATCAACATTAAGGC